CCTCGTGTCCTTGGGGCTGCGCTCGCCACGAGGGGGGTGAGCTCCACACCCACGGGGAGGCGAGTCGGATTCTTTTGCGGGCCGATGTCTGGAATTGGATCCGGATCCACGCTTGCTGACAGTCCCGGGGGGGGTGGTCTGCCGACCCACGCCGGGTTTTGTAGCTGGGTCTGGTCCCAGGGGATTTGGTCCCGGTTCCACGAGGGATTTTACAGATGAGTTTGGTCGCGGGGGAGTTTGGTCCCAGGGGGATTTGGTCCATGTTCCATGCCGCGTTTTGCACCTCCGCTTGTACCCGGTCGGAGCCTTGGGGTTCCGTTCCTGCTCCCAGACCCACACGGGGTTTTGCCGCCCGATTTGCCCCCCTGGAAGGTTCGCTCCAGCTCCCGCTCCAACTGCCGCTCCCAGCTCCACGTAGAGTTTTGCAGACTGTCAGCGCTCAGGTCCCGCCCAGGTGGGGGGGGTCACCTCTGGTCTGGGTCCCACGTGAGGTTTTACAGCCCGACCCGCAGCCAAGTTTGGCATCCAGAGGTATTTAGTCCCGGTCCAGGAGCCAGGCAGAGATTTGTACCCTGTTTTGTGCCTGGGCCTGGCTCCAGGGGGGTTGCACCAGGTCCTGGTTCTGGTCCTGGTCTCAGTCTCACCGGGGCATTGCAGCCCAGCTTGCACATGGGTCCCACCCCAAGGGGGATGTGCACCTGTCCCTGTCCCACTGCCATGGGGCATTTTGCACCCTGACCCCTGCCACAGCAGTGTTGGACCCACGAACTGGCCCGGACCCCAGCAGGGTTTGCCCCTGACCTGTAGCTGTTCCTGAGCTGGGGTGGCACCCGCAGGATGCCCTGGCCACACACCAGGGTGAGGAGCTGTGGGGCCAGGGGTGCACCCCTAACACCCTCCAGCTGCTCCCCAGATGCTGACAAGCGGATTAAGGTGGCCAACCCAGTGGTGGAGATGGATGGGGACGAGATGACGAGGATCATCTGGGCCTTCATCAAGGAGAAGGTGACGGGGTCCTGCCCTGGGAATGGGTGGGTGTGCTACAAGTGAAGCTGAGGAGGTTGTATGGGGAACAAGCGGTGCCTGTGCTGGTGTCCGTCTGTCCCTCCCACCTCTGTCCCTCTGTCCGCAGGAAGCAGGTGGTAAAATCAGCGCAGCTTCCGGAAGGCCTGGAAGTGAGAGGGTCCCAGGGAGGCAGGACTGTTCTGGGCGGGGAGGCCCATCCCACGCAAGGAGGCCCATCCCAGGCAGAGGGGATCATCCTGGCTGGGGGGGATGGTCCCTGGCAGGCAGCTGGGCTGTGCTGGGGTGGGTGCTGGGACTGGCTGTGCAAGGGTGCTGCTCCCCAGGCACCCCACACTGTCGCCCTGCTCTGATGCTCTCCCGGCCCCCCAGCTCATCCTGCCCAACGTGGATGTCCAGCTGAAGTACTTCGACCTGGGACTGCCACACCGGGACAAGACAGATGACCAAGTCACCATTGACTCGGCACTGGCCACCCAGAAGTACAGTGTGGCTGTCAAGTGTGCCACCATTACGCCTGACGAAGGCAGGGTGGAAGGTGGGCAGGGGTGAGGGGCCGAGTTCCCACCACAGTGTGGGGTGCTGGCAGCTCCATGGAATGCTGAGCCCCCTGTCTGTGTGCAGCCCCTCGGGGTCAGCAGTGCCTCCCCCCTGCCAGCTCAGGTTTCCGGTGGGCTGGGGGATGCACCATGCTCAGCGCTGTGCCTCCCTCCCCATCCTGGGGGGCTTGTGGGTGCTGTGGGGACCCCACGGGCATGGGGCTGGGGGACAAACTGCCCCATACCAGTCACAGTTCTGTGCTGGCTGTCCCACCCCTTGGCCAGCCCAGCACCTAGTCAGCCCACAGCACGGTGGAGTGGGGGCTGGCAGGGGCTGGGTTCTTCTGGGGGTCCTTGAGGGTCTCACCTCTGCATGTCTCACAGAGTTCAAGCTGAAGAAGATGTGGAAGAGCCCCAATGGCACCATTCGAAACATCCTGGGGGGGACGGTGTTCCGAGAGCCCATCATCTGCAAGAACATCCCCCGCCTGGTGCCCGGCTGGACCAAGCCCATCACCATCGGCCGCCATGCCCACGGCGACCAGGTGAGCCTGGTGCAGGGGCTGGTGGCGTGGGGATGTCCAGCAGCTCCTGTGGCCACTGCCTGATGCTCTGCCCGGCCCCCCACAGTACAAAGCCACTGACTTCGTGGTGAGCAAGTCTGGGACGTTCAAGATGGTCTTCACGCCGAAGGATGGCAGTGGGGCCAAGGAGTGGGAGGTGTTCAACTTCCCCGGTGGCGGCGTGGGCATGGGCATGTACAACACAGACGAGGTACCGGTGGGGCTGGAGGGGTCCCTGCGGGGCAGCGTGCCCTGCCACCCTGGGGAAGCTGCCAGGCGGGGGGTCAGGGTCCCAGGGGGTCTGTGCACTTCCCACGCAGTCCATCTCGGGCTTCGCGCACAGCTGCTTCCAGTACGCCATCCAGAAGAAGTGGCCACTCTACCTGAGCACCAAGAACACCATCCTCAAGGCCTATGACGGGCACTTCAAGGACATCTTCCAGGAGATCTTTGATAAGTATGGACCTGGGGGGGCTTGGGCTGCTGTGGGGGGTTGCCCAGGAGGGGCTGGCAGCAGGACCCACCTGGGGTGGACACAGTTGACCCCCGGCCTGGGCTCCCAGGCACTACAAGACTGAGTTTGACAAGCTGAAGATCTGGTACGAGCACCGGCTCATTGACGACATGGTCGCCCAGATGCTGAAATCCTCTGGCGGCTTCGTCTGGGCCTGCAAGAACTACGATGGGGATGTCCAGTCAGACATCCTGGCACAAGGTGGGGCAGTAGGAGAGGACAGGTGGGGTGGGCTGTGTGTGCTCACCCTCACAGAGCCACCCTGACCCCTGTCTTGCTGCAGGGTTCGGCTCCCTGGGGTTGATGACCTCTGTCCTGGTGTGTCCGGATGGGAAGACCATCGAGGCTGAGGCCGCCCACGGCACTGTCACCCGCCACTACCGGGAGCACCAGAAGGTGGGTGTGCTCTGCCGGCAGGCCCTGCCTGTGCCAGGCCCACAGTGCGGTGCCCACACCAGACAACTGACCGCTCTCTCCACGCAGGGACGACCCACCAGCACCAACCCCATTGCCAGCATCTTCGCCTGGACGCGTGGCCTGGAGCACCGGGGCAAGCTGGACAGTAACCCCGACCTCATCAAGTGAGCAGGGTGGGGTGGGGGTCCCTGGGGTGAGGGTCCCTGCCAGCAGCTGCCCCAGGCACAGCTGTGGCAGGGTCTGGTGCTGGCTGTGCTGGAGCTGCGGCTGCCACCCCCAGGTTTGCACAGACGCTGGAGAAGGTCTGTGTGGACACCGTGGAGGGCGGAACGATGACGAAGGATCTCGCCGGCTGCATCCACGGCCTCGCCAAGTACGGGTGACTCTGGGGGTGGAGCAGGGGGGAGGCAGCCGTCTGCACCAGGGCAACGTGGCTGCACGGGTGACCACAAGGGCGGGCTGTCCCCCCAGGGCAGCCACAAGGGCAGGCTGGCCCTGCGCAGTGGCCACAGGCAGCTGCTGGTCTCTGGAAAGTCCCTGAGGACTTGGGGTGTCTATTCGCAGCTGGTGGGGTTGGACAAGGGTCACATCTCACAACTCAGGGCCGTGCTGCCTGTGAGGGGAGGTGGGCAGGGATCCCCCCCCAACCCTTCTCTGTCCCCACAGTGTGAAGCTGAATGAGCACTTTGTGAACACCACAGACTTCCTCGACGCCATCAAGAACAACTTGGACAAGGCCCTGGGCAAGAAGTAGGGGGCAGGAGGCCCCTGCTGTTCCCAGGATGGATAGGGCAGGGAGGGGCCCAGTGCCACCCCCAGCTCCCTGACACTCCTCAGGAACAGATGAATCATTTTTATAAGCAGTTTTCTTATGAGTGTTTTTAAAGCCTTTGTAGCAGGAGTTGTAGGGCTGGGGGGGGTCTGTCCTGAACTGATTCATGTATTCCATAACTCTGTGGTGCCATTAAACACCTCCCCAGCCATGGCACATCATAGTAGCACAGCTCTGCAGTGTGGGCATGGGGGGCACAGGGAGTACCAGACCCCTCAGCTCAGCCTTGCCAGCCTGGAAGGTCGTGTGCCCCAGCATTTTGGCACTGGCTGAGGTAGCGTGTGGGGGTCCACACTGGCTAGGGGCACAGCCCTGCCATGCTGAGGAGAGGTCTGGGCTGGCCAAGGCTGTGGCCATCTCCATCCTGCCCCCAGGCTGGATGATGTTGCAGGGGAGGAGGTGGATGGCAAGGGTGGTAGGCACACTGCCTTGTGGGGAGGCTGAGTGGGGCCACCTCCAGAGCCAGCCCTGGGCTTCTGGGGATGGGGCACATGGTGCCCAGCCCCAGGGAGCACAGCCAAGGGCACAAAGTGGGTGGGGGGGTCAGCACAGGGGTCCCAAACCCTGTGCTCTGGCTGGACCCCAGGTCCTGATGTCTACCAGGACCCTCTCCAGCTCTGGGCTGATGTGGGTGCTGCCAACCCCAATCCCACAGTAAGGAGGGTACGGAGCCCAGATAGCAGTCCTGGACCCAGCATTGCCCCAGCTGCTTCCTCCCTAATCCCTGGGCATGGAGGAGGCAAACCCCCACCTCTGCCCAAGCGAGAACCTTTTCCTGAACCCTAGAGCAGCTGAGGGGCAAGGAGGGGGTGCCAGTTTGTTCTCAGGCCCCCGCAGCCCCCCCGGCTCCCAGCACAGACCACACAGCTTACACGGGTTTACAAAGCACATTGGTTGAAGGGAACTGAACTCGGTGAAAAGATAAATCCAACCACGCGGCACATCTGAAAAAAATAAATTACTTTCAAAATACCATCATTTGCTGGGGCTGGGCTGGGTTTGCCTCCCCTGGATATGCCGCTGGCTGCAGCTTTGGACCCCGAGCTGTGGGCACCGACTGCGCCCTGAGCTTCTATGAAAATACTCTGTTCTGTGCCCCAGAGCCTGGCACAGGGAGCCCCAGGGCGAGCAGGAGGGCACACCCACCTCCTCCCACAGGCAGGGGCTTCTGCCCCCTGGGGAGCCCGGGGGGAGCTCCAGCACACCCGAGGGGGGACCCAGGAGGTAGAATAGTTAGTGATGCTCATCATCTTGCCCCACTGTGGCCCCTTCCACCCTTACCCATTCAGTGATTTTCTGGGTTGTGCCTCCCCTGCCCGCAGTTTCAAGTCACCGGGCGTGGGGCGCGGGCAGGGGGGCAGCAGTGGAGCCACGGCAGGTCCGGCAAAGGCTTCTGGACATCCCTGTGTTCTCCAACCCCAGCAGGAGCACCACCTCCAGTTCTAGGGGTTCTGGCTGGATGCCGCAGCCCCTCTCACCCTGCCAAGCCCCCACAGCCCTGCCAGCCCCGGCTACAACATGTTGTAGTACGCCATCTCCTTCATGGCCTGCTCGGCCAGCGCGTGCTCGTCCGGGGGGTTGCCCACTGCCCCGTAGCTGTAAGAGTTCTCCTCCTCAAAGTCGTCCATCTCCTGCTGCCCATCCAGCTCGGCGTGGTCGGGCCCGGCCAGCTCCATCATGGCATCTAGGAGTCAGCACAGGGACACTCGGTGACAGACCTGTGGGGAGGGCTGGGCCAGCAGCTCCCCCCTCCCTGGGTTTGGAGCTCGAAGCTCCCTGGGAGCCCTAGCCCTGCTCAATCCAGGCCACTCGTGGGGGCAGCCCTTGGGTGAGGAGACATGAACTTGCCACAGCTGCCACAACACAGCCCAGCTCCCGAAGCCACTGGCACTGCTGGGGGCAGCCACAGTGCCCAGTCCGCACTGGGGACCCACCTTGGCTGTCCAGGCTGATGTCCATCACCCCATGCTTGACCTTCATGTGCCGGCTGAGGTTGCCCTTCAGGTTGAACTTGCTGGAGCAGTAGGGACACTTGAAGGGCTTGCTGCCAGCGTGCAGGTGCATGTGCCCCAGCAGGTTGTACATGCGGTTGAAGGACTTCCCACAGACCTGCCAGCAGCATGCCCATGGTCAGCCGGGGCTCCCCAGCACGGGGGGCACCCCCAGAGCTGCCAAGGGCTCTGCAGAGCAGACCTTGCCCCAAAGGTTCCCCATGGCTCCCTCCAAGAGTAAAGGGGCTGCTGCCCCCCTGGGGTCCCTAGTGGCTCCTGCCACATGCCCTCCTCCCCCTCTGTGTGGGGGGCTTGAGGATGCAGTGCTGGCGCTGGGAGCTCCAGAGCATCCAACACTGATCAGAGAGAGGCAGTGGTTGTCCTTCCATCAGCAGCACTGCTCCCACCACAGCTTGGAGCAGATATTCCATGCCGAAGCAAGCAGGGGAGGCATCACAAATCTGCTTCCAGTGCTCGAAAGCTCAGCCTGGCCAGATTCCCAGGGGCATTGCACAAAAGGACCATTCTCCCCCTCCCTGGCTCTGCCAGCCCCCCAGTCCCGCCGGTACCTTGCACTTGAATGGCTTCACAGGCGAGTGCACGATCATGTGGGTCTTGAGCGTCTGCTTCTGCACGAAGGTCTTGAAGCAGATGTGGCACTGGTAGGGGCGGACACTGGTGTGGATCAGCATGTGCCGCTTCATGTTGGCCTGGAGCGTGAACTCCCGCCCGCACACCTCGCACTTGAACTCCTTCACACCCTGCCGGGGTGGGAGAGCTGTGGACAGGGGCTTGACAAGACCCCCAGGTGCCGGGGGCACATGGGCAGTGCTGGGCATGGAGCGGGGACACCATGGGTGAGGGATGGGCTCCTTGTGCTGAGAGCATGGCCCAGCCGGAGCCCAGCAGCATGCAGGGGCTGTGGGTGGGGGCTGGACAGGCTCTGTCCCAGCTCTGGTCTGTGGCTCAGCTCCATGAAAGAACCTCTGGAAAAGGGCAAATCCCCACTTACAGCCCACCCAGAGGGCCTGTGGCAACTCCTGGCCGGGGTCCCCCTGGGTCACCCTGCAGTAGGTCTGAAACTCCCTCCCCAAGGATGGGAATACACAGAAGGACAGAGGCTGGGTCCCAGGGACCCCAGCAACACCAGCCACAGGTGCCACTGCCCACTCACCACCCATCTCCTCCCAGGCCTGGCCAGGGCTGCAGGACATTGGGACACCCCTCTCCCCCAGCACCCGCATCTAGAGCACGGCAAGGGCAGCACCCCTGGGGATCCCCAGGCCCTACCTTGTGCGTGAGCGAGTGCTGCTTGAGGTGGTGGATCTGGCTGAACTCCATCCCACACTCTGTGCAGACAAAGGGCCGGACGTTCTGGTGCTTCAGCATGTGGTTCTGCAGCTGGCTGCGGTAGTGGAAGGATTTGCTGCACTCCAGGCACTGGTAGAGCGTGGGGCCCTGGTGTGTGGCCAGGTGTCGCTTCAGCTGGGTGAGCGTGGAGAAGTCCAGCCCGCACTCCACGCACACGTGGCAGCGCCCACTCTCGTGCTTCACCTCGTGCGCCTTCAGCTCGCTGGGGTAGGCAAAGCCACGGCCACAGAAGCGGCAGCTGTAGGGCTTGATGTCAGTGTGCAGCAGCATGTGCCGCTTCAGGTGGCTGGTCTGGGTGAAAGCTTTGCTGCACACCCCACACTTGTGGGGCCGCGTGCCCTGGTGGGTCAGCAGGTGGGTCTGCAGGTGGCTGGGCTGCTTGAACAGCTTGTTGCAGTGTGGGCAGGAGTGGGGCTTGATGCCATTGTGGCCCAGGATGTGGGTCACCAGGTTGTACTTGGAGGTGTAGGACTTCTCGCACATGCGGCACTGCCAGCGCTTCTGGCGGTCCCCGGCCTCCACCAGGTAGGAGTCGTCGATCTGCACGTTTATGTCCAGCCGGTCCAGCTGCGCCTTCCTGCTGCGCTCGCTGGTGCCACCGGCCACCTCTGCCTCCAGCTCCCCTGGCTCCTGCCAGCCACAGCCCTGCTCGCTCTTCCCCTGCTCGGGGTCCCCCGGCGCGGGGGCCTCCCACCTCACCAGGGGACGGGGCGCCCGCCTCGAACGTGCCTGTGGTCCGCAGGCCCCGGCGGGGCCGCCGTCTGGGTCACCGCCCCGCGGCACAGCTCGGTGCCTCACAGCTCCCGGTGCCGGCCGCAGTGCGCGCAGCGCCGGGGCTTCCTGCTGAAGGTGCCCAGGTCGATCATCTTCATGGCACCGCTATGCACTGCCCGGCTCCTGGCCGGCCTCTGGGGCTGGGGCGGGTGGCCTCGGCTGGCCTCTCGCTTCCTCGTCCCCGGGGACAGACGTGTCGTATGACGTTTCTGCTGCCACCTCTGCCTTCTCACTCTTGACCTTGGGCACCAGCCTCACAGGTGGCCGCTTCCTCCTCCGGGCGTGCTTCTCCAGGGAGAACTCTGCTTCCAGGGTGTCCTCATCCTGCCCATCCCCGGGCACCTGCTCCTCGCCCTCGGGCTCCCCAGGCTCTGCCGTGGGGGGGGGGGGGGGTTTGCTCCGGGTCAGCTCCCCGGCCAGCCCCGGTAATGAAGCCGGCGGGGGTGATGGTGGCTCCAAGCAGTTCATTATCGACACAGGCCCAGGATGGGCAGCCTGTGCAGGGACCAGCACCACCACCAGGGCATCGTCTGCGTCCCGCACTCGTGTAAACCGATCATGCTCTCGCCACTGGCCTACGCCGTCATGGCTGGGGAGGGAGAGACACGGCCGTGAGCCCCAGCACCCCACACACAGACACTGTGCTGTGAGGGGCTCATTCCAGCCATCACCACTTTCCTTAGCACCATCCCCAGTGAACCCCAGACCAAAGTGGGTGATGCCAGTGCGGGTGCCCAGCACCACATGTCCTCTCTGGCCAGACTATCAGTCACCGAGGCTGGGGTCTGGCTCCTTGCATGCCCTCGAGCTCCTGGCAGTGACTCCGAGGGACAGGTGCCCACACAATTTGGGGACCAATCACAGCTGAGCGTGGCTCTGTGCTCTGGCAGAAGTGAGCAGGAGCAGCAGCAGCACAGTAAGCATGAGGGATGGAGCCCAGACCCACTGGGACCACCAGGACATGGTCAGCCCGCCCAGCAGCAGGCAAGAGGCTCGCTGGGCTCATCACTGGTGCCTGGCACACTCACCCCAGGGGTGCCAGCACCACCACAGCATGGTGGGCAGCACAGGGCCCACAGGGTCCCCCGACCCCCCTCAGCAGTCAGCAAGGACAGGCAGGGTTGTGCCTGGAGAGCCGCCGCTTCCTCCCACTGAAGAGCATTCTCCTAAATACAATTATTTCTGCAGCTACAACAAAGAGAAATTCTGCGGGGGAGGTAAAACAGGGATAAAACTCTGAGCCAGATCCTGTCGCAGTCCCAGGAGGACCTGCCCAGTGTGAGGGAATCCTGGGATGAACAGCTCTGGAGTGGGGAAACCCTGCTGTGCCCAGATGTCATCCCCACAGCCAGGTCAGCTGCAGGGACACGAGTGTGGCCAGGGACATCGGCCTCTCCACTGCAGGCAGCTGTCTGCTCCTGCCAGTCCCTTCATGGCCCTGGGAGATGCCCACCTGAACAGCAGCCACAGCGCACAGGATGGGATGGGGAAGGGGATGGGATGATGACGGGGAAGGGGAGAACAGGAAGAGACAGAGAAAGGGAGCGATGCCAACGGCGGGGGTCTGCTGCCCATGGACACCCAGGGTAGGGGGGCCCTCCTCAGTCCCCTCTTGTCTTCTGGGCCACCATGGCACCGGCACTGGGCACAGCGCCAGCGACTCGGCCCACGGTCAGACACACCCAGCGAGAGGACCCTGCCCAGGCCTGAGCTGCCAGGGGGATACTGGGGGGAGGTGGGAGGAAGGTCTCAGCCAAGCACCTCTGTCTGCCCGGGCACCCTGGAGAGGCAGCGGGGAGGGATCAGGGGCGGGGGGCAGGAATGGAGGGGAGGGGCGGCTTCAGGCTGCAGGGAGGAGATGGAGAGGAAGAGGATGGGGGGAGGATGAGTGCGGAGGCAGCGAAACAAAGCAAGGAGCGGGGGAGGGCGGTGGCAGGAAGAAGAGGAGGGGTGGGAGGAAGAAGAGGGAGCAGCCAGGGAGAGCATGCACAGTACAGCCCTGGGGCCCCACCCCGCCAGACGGGACCCCCTTTCCCGTGGGGCTCCATGGGGGACCTGCACTGCCCATTGCAGGCAGGGGAGAAGGGACATGGGAGAGGGGTCCCAGCTGCTCTCCCCATGCCCCTGGCACGGTGGAGGGACACTGGGCTCCCAGCACAGTGCCAGGTCTTTGTCCCCCAAAACGAGCACCACGAGAGGAGGGAGCTGCAAGACTGACACACTCACATGTCCCACAGACCAGTACCCGGGGGTCTTACCACCCCAAGCCAGGGGCTTTAGGGGAAAGTAAATGCGGATTCTTTCCACAGGGGATGAGCTCTGCTTCTCAGCAGGAAAACCAGAGCCTTGTGCTGCACAAACCTCATGCACTTGTCTCCATTGGACACAGGAGCCCTGGGACACGGGATAGAAGCTCTGCTGTCTGAGGCCACAGCGCTCCAGAGCTGCAGCTGCACAAACACCACACGGGGAAGCGGGAACAGGGCAGAGGCAGCTGTTTCACTTCCCGCTCTCACTTCCCTGTTCATGCCTCGGGACTTGCCCAGCCGGCTGGAAACACCGTTTCCCAATACACTGGCAAGTGAGGTGGGGTCACATACTTCAGCTCCCCCAGGAAACCCTCAAGGCTCCAGAGTGCAGAGCACTGCTGGCACCTCTGTGCTTCAAGGGAGCTACTTCCAGCCTTGCTCAAGCTGCTAAAGGAGAAGTGCTGGGTCCACTGCTGTGACAGAGCACAGTCCTGTCCTGCCATGGCTGGTCCCCCAGAGCAGTCGGTTCAGTGAAGCAGGATGATGCCTGGGGCTGGAGCATGCAGAGCTCCTGGACACTGCACAGACTCCTGTCCCAGTGCTGACCCCAGCAGTGACGTGAGCAACTTCTCCAACTCCTCTTCCTCCCCAGCCCAGACCTCCAGACCCTTCCTGGGGCTGGACCTGCAGGCTTTCACCCACTGAACTTGGGGTCCCTGCCCAGTGCCACCGCTGGGAACCAAACCCTCCTCCAGGCTTAATAACTTTTAGTTTTCAAGTCCAGCCCTTTGGTCCAGGCTCAGGTCCCTCCAGCTCATTTCCCAACGCAGACCCTTGCCCATCCATCCCTTTCCCACATGGGGGTCACACAGATACACTTGCCAGAGTCCCCTCCACCAGTGGTGAGTGCCGAGCTCTCAGTCCCCTTGTCCTCCTCTCCTGGCTGCCGCTCTCTGCTCTCTGACACCACGGGACAGATGCTCCCTGGACCAGCAGCAGTGGCTGCTGTCCCTGATCCTTTGGGGTTGTGAAATTTGGGTTTCTTTCACCACGTCTCCTCCCACTGTGAGGTTTAGTCTCAGTGCAATCTCCTCTCTCCTCCCATCTTTCTCAACACATCTGGGAAGAGCCGTGTTCTGCCCTGGCACATCTGTAGTCCCTGCCCTCCCTGACCCTGGCTGCCCCCCTCAGAGCCTCCACCAGCTCCTCACTCACCTCCCAGTCAGTTAGGGTTTTTTCATGGCTTTCACTTCCTTGTGTTAGTTTATTTTCCTCCCTTGCTGCATCATCAACCCCCCAAATATTCACCCAGGTCCCTCTGGCAGCAAAGTCTGCCCAACAGGCTCCTCACCCCAGCACATTCCTTGCTGGATTCCAGATTCTTCAGCCACCAGACTAAGAGTTGTCTGTCCCTGGACACTTTTCCCTTCCCTTTGCTGTTTTACTTCCCTCAGTTTCACCCACCTGCCCCATCACCTGTGCCACTGTCCCATCCAGCCCCTCTGCCAGCACTACTGCTCCAGAGATGAGACCCTGATAAATCCTAAACTGAGCAGCCTAAAAACATTACATCTGATCAATGGAAGCCTCACCTGTGCACCCACGGGTTTACCTGCAACACCTGAGACCCATCAGGTCCCCAACAGGGCACCCTGAGCTAAAGGACCACCCAATCCCATGGAGCTGTTCCCTGGGAGCAGCTCTGGGAGGAACCATGGCCCTGGCTGCCCCCAACAGCCCCCACTGCGGCATTAGTGACTAAAGATCCCTGTTTTCTACCTGGCTCCATTCCCTGCCTCCCCCACCAGCCCAGAGGCCAGCAGCACTCACCTCCTCACCCAGCCATTCCGGCAGGGAAGGGAGTCCCAGGTACCCAAAATACAAAGGATTTGGGGAATTTACCTCTCACAGCTGTCCCAAGAAGCAGTAACCCCCACCAGTGATGCAGGAGCCCTCCCTGCTGCCACTGCTCCCTCTTATCTCAGTTCCATCAGGGTAAGCACAGGCACTGCAGCAGGTGCCAGAGCCCAGCTGGTACCAGCAGCAGATTATCCCACCTGGCTCCCTGCATGGGCTCAAGGGCTGCCTGACAAACCCGGGGTCATGTGAGGAGGACATTTGGGGCTTGTTCCTGGCTGTCCCCTTCGCAGGACCCCCATTGTGGGACAGGTATTGCAGGACCCCTTTGCAGGAATCCTCACTACAGCACCCCCTTCGCAGGAGTCCTTTGTGGGAACCCCATCGTAGGTCCCCCACGTGGGATCCTTTGCAGGACCCATTGTGGGGACCCCATTGCAGGACATCCTTTGCAGGATTCCTATTTCAGGTCCCCAGTGTGGGACCTCCATTTCAGGACCCTTTGCAGAACTCCCTTACAAGACCCTCTGCAGGACCCCTCTGTAGACCCCCTGCTGCTGGTGCCTGGGGGTCCTGAGAGGTTCCCAGGGGGCAGACGCAGCAGTGCAAGCCCCAGGTGAAGCTCCTGGGGCACTGGGGTTGAGCCCCAGCCAAACTGGGGCTCAGGGTGAGGAGGGACCCTGGGCATGGGGGGTCTCCTTGGAGGAGGGGGTGCTAGAACTTTTCAACACTTTTTACCAGAAAATAGCTGATCTGATATTTGTGAGAAAACCTTTGATTTTATTTTCCTTCCTTTCTCAAAAGCAGCTTTCATTTAAATTTAATAAAGGGGAAAGCAGGCTTTCATCTTGCCTGTGGATTTCACATAAAGCTGCTCAAACCCTTACAATTCCAAACAGAATAATGTTGTTTTCCTGAAAATCACAACAACTAAAATTATTCCTAAACCCGACCCAGTGTGTCTGTCCTGCACCAGTCTGAGGATTTGGGGTTCACCTTGGCTTCACTGCCCAGCCCTGGCTCTGTGCTGGTGGCACGTGCAGAGCAGCTCTGGCTGCCATGGCAGATGTGACACCAGCACTTCTTGCCCCAGAACTGACCCCCAGCACAGAGGAACTGCTGTAAAAACGAGTCAAAGCTCAGTGAAAAGGGCAGGAGCTGTGCAGGGCCAGGTACTGCTGCCACTGAAAGCAAACATGTTTAAATTCAGTTGGTGTGTCCAGATAGATACGGTCAAACTACATTTTAAAAGGAAAACTTTTGTTTTAAGGAAAGCTTCTCTAGAAAAAAGAAACCTCTACGGACTGCCAGTGGATCAGAGAGCAGTGGACACGAATCACGTGTGTCACTGGAGGGGTTCTGGGTGGAGGAAGCATCGTCTTTAGAGGCTTTGGCTTCACAAAACAAGGGACATAACCCGGGATTTGCAGCGGGATGTTGATAACGTTTCTAGTAAGAGCAGGTGGAAAACCAAGTGAGGCAAAGTGAGGACCTGGGGTCCATGGGACAGATGAAAGCTTGGGGAGGAGTGGCCCCATGTTGTCAGAGCATGTCAAACCCTCCAGAGCTGCTCCATGGGGGCTTCCTCTGAACATATTCCATGGAACTGGAGGATTCTCACCCAGACCACTCATGTCCATCAGTCAGAAGCAAATATTTACCCCTTTGAAGCCACCTGGTTATTGGCAAACTCTGACTGAGAGGGAAAAGGGAATGGCTTTCAAATAACCAGAAGTTACCGGTGCTGCAGAACAAAGGTGTGTGGAGCATGAAGCTGCCTGGTTCCCCCATCACCAGCCAGGGATGTGGGATCCACCCACGGGAGCTGGGGTGAGAGGGTCAGGCCGGGGGCAGCAGCAGGTGCTGTGGCTGCTCACTGTAGAGGGACAGAGCTGCCATCCCAAATGCTCTTCCCAGCACAAAGACTCCCATGCTGAGCTGGGACATCCCTTTCCTGCTTCCCATTCTGCTGGGAATCCATTTTTTTCTCCTTCTCAGACTGAGACTCCATCTCTCTGCTCCTCCAGCCAGCCAGCCTCCATCCCTCTTTTCCTCCAGCTTTCGCTCCTCCAGCCCTCCAGCCTCCAACTCTCCATCCCTCACTCCTCCATTCCTCTGTTCCTCTATTCCTCTGCTCTTTCATCCCTCCACCCCTCCCTCCTGCGAACCTCCATCCCTCTGCTCCTCAATCCCTTGTTCCCCACCCCCAGCATCCTCTGCTCCTCCATCCCTCCATTGCTCCCTCATTCTTCTCGTTTCCCTGGCAACACCCATCTCGAGCCGAGATCTGTCCCCTCTCTCCCTCTTATCTTTCTCCTCTCTCTTTCATCTCTCTCCTAATCTCCCTCTCCATTTCGAACCTCTGTCCTTTGCTTCCTTTCTCTCTCTCTCCCTTTTCATCTCCTCTGATGCCTTCTCTATCTCAGGTTTACAATTATTTGAATCTCACTTTAAATAAATGATCTATTTAATTAACCACTGGGCCCTGGCCCCGCTCCTGCCCAGCACGGGACCCCTGCCTGCACCACGAAGTGCCCCTTGGCTGAGGACAACAGTGACTGTGCCCTGCCATCCCTCCTCCAGCTCCTGTCCGACAGCAGGGAGCAGAATTCAGGATCAGGCACCTGCACCCTTCCACCACATCCTGCCCTGGAGGGCAGGCGAGGGGTCCCTGCTTGGCGGGGTCATTGCACCCCCCAGAGCCGTGGTTTTAAGACAGAGGAGCACCCCAGGCATGCCCTGCACTGCCTCCACTGCAGGACACGGCTGCTGAGCCCCAGCCTCCAGCCCCCTCTTGTTCAGACCAGGCTTTTCCCAAAAGAAGTTGGGCCAGGTGATCCTTGCCTGAGGTCCCTCCAAACCTGGGATTCCAGTGACTCTCTGATCCTAACACAGCCAGCACAGAAGCTGGTGGCTCCTGTGCCATAGATCAGCCTCAATGTCTATGTCCTTTCAAAACAACCAGAGGAGACTAAAATTCACAGGGAAAAGTTGTTTCCTGAAAACCAGAGTCCTGCCTGCATCTGTTTGGTCATGGGGGTGATGGAAAGATGGATGGAGGACAGGCTGCTCCAGGCTCTGGGGCTGGTGGGAAGAAGCAAGGAGCCTGGCTCTGGCTCAGGGTCACTTCCAGGGGACCCCTGTGTTGTGGCACAGCCAAGAGCCCAGCAGAGCAGGTCCATGGCCACCAGTGCTGTCCCTGCTCCAGGGAGGTCTCCTTGGGGAACTGCTGCTCAGGATGGGCTGAGCCAGAGCAAACGCTGGAGCCAGGGAGTGGAAAACCTGCACTCCATGAGCAGCCAAAAGCGCATCAAAACTGCACCAAAGGTGCACCAAAACCACACCAAAGCCACTGAGGGTTCATGCCTGGAGCAGCACCCAGGCTGGGAACATTCTGGGAGGAGGATTCTCCTCGCCCCCACCACTGCCTTCCTGAGGAGCTCCTGTTGCTGTGCCACATGGCACAACAACATCTCTCCATCAGACCAAACCCATCCTGCTTCAGCCCTGATTTTCCAGCCCTTTTGCCCTCACAGCCTTTCCCAGAACACCGTGCTGGGCTGCCAGGACAACTGTGACAGCAAGCTGAGCTGCTGGTAGCACCTGGAGCAGTGATGTGGGGACCAGCCTCATGCTGCTGAGTGAGGGGTTTCCTTAGACCCACTGGAATCACTGTGGCTTTATGGACATGGATGAGACCCTTCCTGCCATTCCTCTGTGGAAAGGACCAAACCTCAGCCCCTTGTGTCCCTCAGACCGAGTGCAGGGAGTGTCCATGGGCAATGTCCACCCTGGGCACCCAGCACCGTTCTGTCCCGGCACATCCCACGTTTCCCCATGGACTCCTTGTGTGAGCCCCTTGTTCCCCTCTGGAACAAACATGGCCTGTCCACCCCCATCCATGTGCTGTGCAGGTATGTGCTGCAGTGGAGAGCTCCAGGATCTGCCTTTAGAGCTTATGGTCACGTCATCCCTAAAAATGCTGCCACCCAGGAGCCCCAGCAGCAGGAAGAGCCTTTAAATCAGGTAACTGGTGTGGGGGGAGCCGAGGGAGAGGGGCTGCTCTTGTCCAGACCCCCTCTGGCAGCAGGAGCACCCACAGCCCAGCCAAGGCAGCACCGACCTCTGACCCCCTGGTGCTTTGGGGGCTTTGTCAGCAGTTTGGGACCAGCAGTGTGTGTGGCACAGTGAGAGCAGGGAGGACTCCCAGCCCTGCTGCTGTCCCAGCCTGGCTTCAAAGGCTTCACACAGAACCCTCGCTCTGCCTTGGAAAACAATTTTTGCTTTTAAGTGAAATAAACAGGGAAAGAAAAGACTTTCAAGTTCCTCCTTGCTGCAACGGCTTCTCCCCGGCACAGTTCCTTTCCTCTCCGAAAATAGCCAAGCTATTCAAAAGAGATGCAAGAAAAAAGGAACTGAATAGAGGAAAAGGGAAAGAAAAAATGGAGCCCCAAGGGGGTGGAGAAAAACAGAATGAAAAGACAGCAAAAGTAAAGAAAAGGGATGAAAAATAAAGGAGGGGGAAGAGAGAGACAGACAGAGGAGCTTTGAAAAGAAAGAATGCTGACAGCCTGAATACAGGGAGCAGGAAAAAAGGGCCCTGAAAAGAAAGAGCCGGCTGGAATGACCTCTCATTCAGGGCTGTGCCAATCACCACCGCGATGGAAATCCTTTCTTCTTCCCTGCATTCTCTCTCTTTCCAGCGGGGGCAGAGGGAAGAGGAAGAAAAGGGAGTTAATTCTCAGCATAGCAGAAAATAAATCTGCTCTTTGCGAAGTCCCTGAAAGGCGCTGAGGCGCTGACAAACCTGCTCCCAGCACTCACACATGCAGAGGGGGACAGAAAGGAAACGGGACTGAGCGGTGCTGGGCAGGACTGTCTTCACCACCTCCTCATCCCTCTGCAAAAACCGGGGAGCAAACACCCAGAGGAAACAAATCTGCAGGAAAAAGTGTGGGTTCATGTCAACCCCCAAACCTTGCAGGGAAA